AATAACATAAATTAGGTTTGCAGTTTGTTTCGGTTACAGAAATTGTTCAAAACGGTTTGAAAGTCACGTATAAACAATTTCGTTTGGGAAAACAGTTTTCAAATGTGACGAAAAGTAGAGGCTTTGAGATGGACTGATACCTCATTTAGGAATTTTTACTTATAGACCGTATTGATGTGACAAATATTACTCTGTGCAGCCCTACTCCACGAGTTTAGGTCTATAAGTTATAAGTATAACGTCTTTTATTTTATTTAGAAAGATAATATCAATCAAGAAAAGTTGTTAGTTAGGCTGAAGGAGAATATAGACGAGAATAAAAAACGAGTGGTGGTAAGTCACTTTTGTTATTAGTTGATGTTTTTTATTTAATAAATTCTTAGCCTTTTATTAACATAAAGTGTACACCTATTAATATAGTGACCAGCGATGGAAATATGTTATTCTATCAAAACATTCTTTCGAGGTGGTAAAGATACTTTTATTTCTTTAATCTAATATCTTGATACGTAACACAAACCTTGAACCACAATTTTGATGACCTTTCCACCTAAATTTCGTATAAAATCAGATCTCGAAATATATTTAGAATGTTTGCTTTGAGATTAGTCGATGTTTGTCGATGTTCATTCTGCGTTGTGACGTCTTACGGACTCGGTGGTAGATATCACCCATTTACATTCTTGCCCGTAGATTTTCACGGCTGGTGTTTAATGTATAACTTTGGCTTTCGGGGGTGAGCCGAGTCGGAAGTTGAGGAGTGTCCACAGTTAAGTCAAAAACTGGAGATCGTGTCTTCAGGTTAAATGCGTAGTAGTTTCTGGGCTTCATCAATCACCATATCCAACTCTCCATCTGCTGCCTGGTCTAACCATTACACATTCTCCCTGAAGATGGCAACCGTATTGATTACAGAAAAGTTGGATAATAACTTTCGACGCGGCTAACCCCCGAAAACCAAAGTTATTAACAGTGTGTACATCTTCGGCCCTGAAGACGCAATGTGTTTTCTTTGCGGTACGGGCTGAATTTTTAATGTTATTTAGATGGATGTCGGACTAAGAATGTTAAAAGTTATTAAGGTGGTATTTTTTAAAATATTATTACGGGACGTTTGTGTAAGATGGTTCTTAATCCTTTGGAGACGAGTATAAACAACGACTATTTCTTTAAACAGCATGAACCAGCCGATATTTGTAATGGAGATGGACTGTTTTCTTTGCGGTACGGACTAGACTGAATGTTTAAATATTATTTACACGAGTTTCGATCTTCAAAGGGTTTATAACACAGGGTTGAAAAGTGTGGACTGGATACATTTTCGCTCAGGATAAAGAGAAATTTTGCGATAAAGATAATGAACCTTTGTTTTCTAAAATAGATGGGAAATTTGATGACCAGTTGACAGCTTATAGGAGAGAGAATTAGCTTTTCAAGAAGGTCTCTGCATTATCGAGATATTTACATAGAAGAATTAGATGTTAGCACATGTGTGTGTCGTAAACGTATTTTATTCAGCTTTGTTGTAATATTCATTGTAATCATTCGTGCATAAGGGGAATACAATCATATAAAATTCGGTGTGGTGACAGGTTGAACGCACGTCAACGAACGAGACGCGTTCGACCTGTCACCGTACCGAATTTTACATGACTGGCTGCTATGACTCATCAGTTACCTTTGTTGACCTGTAGAACCAGACAGGTAGATGGGTAGAAAGCTCATAAATCTAAATAGTAATAAAAGCTAAGGTAATATAAAGTTGTACTTTAACTTATAAAGTACGTAGGGGGAGTGGAAATATACCTCAACCCATTTACAAAATCTGTACTAGATGGAGCTTCTACCCCTGTCGTTCTTCCGTCCGGGGAAGAGCCCCTCGGTGCCTATTGTATGGGCCCCAGAACCAGCCTGGTAACATGCAAGAATATTGAATGTAAAATTTATAAACAGAATACCGTAAGTTTATGCGTATATTTTGTAATTTTCAGAAATTTCTCTGTTTGAATGAACAGAAGTTCTGGGAGGAGTTTATGTCTACTGCAGGGGCGGAGATCCTGTTCATGTTAACCGTGTTATCTAGGCTAACATTTTTTTTAAAAAAAATAAAAAAATAGCCTTGTCTTACTTTCCTTATTTAGTGGCAAACTGTACGTTGAAACAGATCAGATAAAATGCGTCCTTAGCCAACTCCAACCAGCGAGCCAAGCGACGAGTGTAAGCCTCAACCAGCTGGCTAACAAAGTCACATGTGGTTCAGCCACTGAACGTGTTCTCGTTGCGAGAAGATACCCAAGCTGGCTAAAGTAAGGTTTGTTGAATTGAAAGGAACTTTTATAGGCGTTTAAAATCGCGAAAGAATAAATGATTACAGTAAAACGTGCTTACACCGGAGCCCGAAATGATCTGAACATGTTTCTGCTTTTCCGATTGGTTCGCGTTCAACACAAGGACACTCGTTATTTTTAGATAAAATTATATTATGCAGTATTCTGACATTTTGTGATCCGTATCGCCAAATACGTACGAGGGATACAGATTTTCATTCTTAATATCTAAAACTTTGTTGGATACATTTTGGCGTTGCCGGTATTGTGTGTTATGGAACACAACGAGAAACATTTTTCGTCTGTACATTGTGGTATGCGTGGTATGATTACTTTAGCAACAGTAGATTAACCCCAAGGGCAATAAGTGATGAAAAATCTCGCGTATAACGCATTTGGAACCTTTCCACTTTTGTATTGGTGCGGTAAACAGCGAAGTGTCACTGGTAGGCGCCTTCAGTTCTATAGGGAAAAGTTGTCAATAATATCCCTACACAAAAGAGACAGTCGTAGTTAGAGAGAAGGGAAGTTTGCTGGTATAATATCCCGTCCCCTCTAACAACCAGACACTCGAACAACATGGTGAAACAGCGTTTTCTGTGTTTTAGAGATAAATAACCTCGAGTTTGCGATATGATTGTTTGTTTGTTTGTTATATTTTTATTTTATAGTAATATATATAGTTGATTTATGAATGTGTGTAAAATAATGAAACGTATATGGAAGTCTTTTTCGAAACAATTTCCATAAATGAAACTCTCGCTATATTTGCTGATTGAACAGTGAAAAAGTAATTAGGCAATTATGGGTTAAAAAATATATTATATTTTTAGTACGAAAGATCTGTTCGTCTGGAAATAATGACCTAAAAACTCGTTTTGGATCTTTCTAAAATCTGAATTTAATAGTTTTCTTGTTTCATGTATGTAGAACAACGGATGTCGAATTATACTGCATCCGACACTAACATAATGTTGAGTATACTAGTTATCTTAAGGTCTGTGATAATGCTTACTCTTTTATACCAATATATTACATTACCCATTGCCTGAGATGTATGTAGTATACATGACGTTTTGGGAACTGATTCTACCTCAGCATCGAACGAGCTCAAAAGTTCCTGTTTTCGGTCCAGTCCGTTGTCATTAATCCACGATAACAAACCAATCATCTGGTAAATGGAAGTAGAACGTACTTCGACACGTCGTGTACAATCTGATTTAAAAGAGTGAGTAATGTCCAGTATAAAGCAGGTGTGAGGTAGTGCAAATATAATTTTAACATTTTGAGACATGAAAGTAATGTAAAACACGATATCGTAGTAGGGTTTTTTTTTTACAGAAAATCTGACTGTACGTTAGTTCTGAAAGCGGCTGAAAGAATGAGAGAGACAAAGCGTAAAAACCAACAAGAAAGATTATGCTTGTATTGAAGATGAGTAGTTTGTATTTTATGTGCGTTCCTTCGCGGTTCTAGCATTTGGGTTTAAGTCTTTTAGGAGAAGGGGGGACTTGCCTCCGTTATATTAGTTCACTATGTGAATCAAGGCAAAAGGTTGGTTACTTGAATCATGAGACAGTGTCGGGACGAGGGGGGCTTGAGGGCACGTAGGCCAAGGGGTGGAAGGGATGCCAGCCTTACGCTATGTAGCAGTCTTCTGTTTCTTGTACACACATAGTCTGCCTCGCTGGCGGGCGGTCGATCGGTCGGTCTGTTGTCTCGACTAGTCGAGAGTGGGACGGTGAAGCGATAGGAGGTGTTTGCTGTGCGTGAGTGTCGTGTGTGCGCAGACTTGTAATTCTCTCTGATCCGGTTTAACGTTCCTTAGCGTAAAACATTATTAACTGATTTTTGTACACATACTCGTTTGTTTTTGTGAAGGAGAATGCTGTTATTGTTAACATAACGTAACGAGCATTGTGAATAACTTGATATCGAATTGTGTGCACTGTGAATCTCATGTTTTCTTTTAAGAAAAAATGTTGCTGTGTGTAGCACGATAAACTGTTTGGTTTTCGTTAAATAGAATTACATAATGTAAAATCTTTTTGTTTTAGTATAAAACGGTCTGAAATGAAATGCTTGTTGGCGCAGCGCGGCACCTACAGAAATATTTCAACATTAAAACATACGTGGGTGTTCATTACGCTTAAAATAATATACGATGCGATTCACAGCTGATTATGTGTTAAGGAATAGAATGACATTCAAGTGATAAGAAGGATTATTGTAGACAATTACTTCCGAAAAGAGTTGGCGACCGTTATGATGTTTGTACATTCTGTGAATAACTAGGGTAAAATTGAAGGACGTAAAAATGGTGAAGTTGGATTGCAAACGTGTTGGTTACCCACAGTGGCTTTCTTTTCTCATTTGTCTTGGTATCACTGAGACATCTAAAGGCCTGCATGTAGCTGGTACCGCATCGACATCTCAGCTGGAGCCGCTAGGAGAAACTTCGACCACGCGCCCGCGATCACCAGGTATTCTGAAATGCAAATGAAGTCAATCCTGATGGCCGGGTAGTTTGTCGTGGACTTTTAACTTCTCGATCCAAGGATATGACATCCCATTTTTCTCTGGGATGTTGATACTGAATCGTTAAAAATACCATCTCAATTTCTTCTCATCAGTGCTGGTTTTTTTTTGTTTGACGAATGAAGACGAATTACATGCATAAAAGTGGTAACTAATAGTCGTGTTTAGGACGGGGTTAGATCTGACTTGGCGATTATCGGCGATTAATTTTTTTTCAAAAGAACCGTAAACATTCTTGTATTATTTTAGGCATGTATTAGTGAATGTTCGTAGATTGATTAATACTGATACTGGGTTACCTCAGCATTCCAAGGAAAAATGTACAGGGCTCAAATTCAGCCAGATCCCGCCAAAATATGATTCTTCGTTATTTGATTCCTTCTAATTGCCCGTCAGTCAAAAAAGGTTAGCGATTCCTGTTTCAGTCGGTAAAGTGGCAGGCTGCATACGAACATTACTGTCAACTGGCGTTCTAAAACCGCCATTCGTTTAACTGTTCTGTCACCTGAGAACAGATTTCAGTGCCGTGAGAGAGACAGGTTGGTCACACTGTTTTATGGTTTGTTGGTGGGGTGAAACGATGCATTTCTAACACACAGCTAAGACTCGAAAGCTACACGAGGTTTCTGATAGTCTCGGGTCATAGAGTAAGGATAAGGGTCACTGGTGGGTCACGGAACTAAATTTATGCCTTGCAGAAATCTCTTGGGAACCAACAAACATGTCTTGAAAAGGCTAAATATTTTTATGTGTAGCCATGAAGACGTATGGAGTGGACCATTAGTCCAACGCATTCTTTAACTCGGATGTAGATGGAGATATGTTGGCCGGCTACACGCTCCAATCTTGACATCCGCAGGAAAAGCGGTGGCGAAAGTTAAAATGTTGGTCCCTACCGGAAGTCGAACTCCCGTTATCCAGCCCGTAGTCTAGAAATCTTGACATCCGCAGGAAAAGCGGTGTCGAAAGTTAAAATGTTGGTCCCTGCCGGAAGTCGAACTCCCGTTATCCACAGACCGTAGTCTAGTCGGGAAATAACTGATTAAGAAAGTGAATGATGAACAGAATACTTGGACCCAAGAGAGAGGAAGGAACGGGGGACTGAAGAAATTGCATGATAGGTTTGTATTCGTTATCAGATATTAAGATGATCAAATCAGTTGTGACGAGATGTGTGCGTTATGTAACACGCGTAGGGGAGATGGTAAATATGTTCTCAGTTTTAGTCGGGAAACCAGAGTGGAAAGGAACTCTTATGAGACTTTAAGGATAATACGAAGAAAAGGATGGATCTTTTTAACTTCCCGACATCTTCTCGTCTCCGTGAAGGCAACGACTACAGAATCATGTCTGTCTTGCGCGATAAGACACGCGAATAAGATGACAATGCCAAAAGTGAGCCCTAATTTGTGACTCACTGCCTTGAGAACAGCATGGACCACCGCTTGAAGTACCGTTGTTCGCACGAAGATGCCAGTCAGATGACTTCTTCATAATGCAACTTAAGCTAATGGCTTATCGCGAGCAGCAACCAGCACCCCATGTTTGCATCATGTTTTTTAATCTTCATTTATAGATAGAGACGTCTTATCGCTTCGGAGGAATATACTGTTGGAGCATCTTCAGGGTTGAAGTGAGAGGGTCGGAGTTGCATGTTCTGTCCGGTCACTGTTTCTTCGTATGACGTATCGTATCTGCAGAAACTCTTAAAAACGTCCGTGACGGTTAATCCTACCGGAGGTCCTTACACATCTGACTCCATAGAGCAGCGTCCTTGAGAATCCGGTTTCTGCTTACGTAGTCAAATCATTTCCCTTTATGGAATGTAAAGGTTCCATACCGTGTTTACAAGGTCCCGCCCCCTAGGCCTTATCCTGAGCCAGATGAATCCAGTCTATATCCTCACGCCTCGTTTCATGACCAATTTTAATATTATCTTCACATCTACCCCTGGTTCTCCCAAGTGGTTTTCTGGTTTTCGGACTAAACTTTGTATGAATTTTTCCTGTCATCTACAATGCACAGAACCAAAGAAGGGATATTTTCGTTTTGTGTGGGACTTCTGTTTGCGTAGGCATGTTTTATGTAGGCTACCAACTGTTTGTGATTATTTTCATTTCTTGACTTTGTTCTAAATCTCTGGAATCTGCGCTGTAACATTTCGTGATGGCTCTTCGTAGTTACGTCATATATCTCCCCTGTTCTGAACTATTTACTTAAGACTGTTAAGTTTGTGTTAACAAACATCGAAGTGCACTTGCTAATTGTCAATGCCACTTCGTCGTATAGTTTTAAACGTTCTGTGCATGAAAGGTCACTCAAGAGCGAACAAGAATGTACTTAGCAATGTATTGTTGCGGTGCTCGAGATTTTAAAATTTTTTCCCCCGCGTAGTTTGGATTTCAGAGTCTTGTAAAGAAAGTTACATGGGATATTGAACCATGTCATGTAGAATTTTACCGACGTTTCAGAGGTGCTTGCTACCTAAATCTTTAAGGATCTCCGTTTTATCTTTGATCACATTGATGCCGCAGTGACCTCGGATGTCATTGTTGGTCTTTATGTTCTCTCGGTGGTGGGCATTGCTGTCTCATTATGTCTGTTTTTTATCGTGGGGAATCCCCAGCCAGCTGGACCCATGGATCCCACCCACGCAGAGGTCATAGTTTCCATGCAACTGTAACCGAAGGTTGAACGGAGATCGTATTTTGATTGAATAGAAAACCTCCCATCAGCAGTTCCGCTTCTCGTCACCAAACGAAAAAAGTTGAAGCAACAACAGAGTGAATGCGCCAGAATAGTCTCGCTGTGCAGATGTTTTATAACCGGATTTTTCTTCCACTGCGTGGAGATCAGTTCTGGAATCTGCCCAGTTACGTCGTCAGTGGATACAAGAGGCTGTTTCCCTTAATGCTGATTAAATAAGTAATCTGCGTGTACAGTGGTTTTAACAACGAAATCAATAAATGCAGAATGCGAAGTTAATGGTTGTTGAAGTAGGTGGAACCACTGGGTTTGAAATGATTAAACGCGATGTTAAGAAGGAAATTTTTTTAGGGAATTTCGAGGAAAGTTTTCGTGCGTTTTAACCCCGTCACTGGTTTTGAGACCGAGTGATGGAATCGGACGTCGGCCGGTTTCACGCTTGTTCGCGAATTGAAGTTTCCGATAGGCTACATATTATATGGGATTGTAGATGTGGGCGCAGATTTCTGTATATCTGAGTGACAATTCTGATTCCCGCTGTGGCGATTATGAAGATGTCTGCCTTCTGAGTTATTACGCCGTGTAGTATGGTAGAAATTACAAACGTTACAGACGTACCTGTTGTCTGCATCCTCATGGCTCATCGCTCATAAGGCAATTATCTTATTTTAGATTCTGTTTTTGGAGAAATATTCCCATTATCTCCTGCGATTAGTGTCCTATAGAATTGAAGTCTCCATGAGACACCTAACATGTCTGTACCCTGTGTGGTGATTTCTCTTGTAGAATGACGAGAGAGTTGGGTTGAAACCATTTACTGCTGACGTGCTTTTCCTGTTTCATCCGGCCCTTGTGAGGTTAAAAACCTCTGGAGTGGGACTTGTCCCCGGAAGAATCCGCCCACTCGCTTTTGTGCTTTAATTGGTTGTCGTTGTCAGCGAATTTTATTGTTTCAGTCACAGTGACTGTAGCAGACACAAACGGCAGGCATTTAGACTGACAGGAAATATAATGTAAACGGTACTGAAATACAATAAACGAAGAGATGTCTTCTTGATACGTCCTTGATTTATTTAGACTGAAAAAAAAATTCCTTCAGCCCTAAAACTCGTCACTCGTATGTCATATATGAGCCGTGAAATGACACAAAACTGAAATTTCATGGGAAATTAGTAATAGGAAAGCAATATGTCCGATTATTAAAGAATTATTTCCTTTCTAAGAAGATGATAGTTGCTTAGCTAATCCGGAATTAGTATAATGAACGTTATTAATAAGAGCACAAAGGTTTTGTAACTGATAGTTTGTTATAGTAATTTTTTACAATTTAAATAAGAATGTCATTTTCTTCAGGACTTGACGACGTGTTCTCTAGACCAGTGTTATTCAACCTTTTTTGTTCGCGTACCCCCAGATATAATTTTTCTTCAACTTTGTACCCCCAAAGTTGTTCGTGTATAATTCAAGTTATACATAGTATATAATCTACATGTAAAATAAATTAAATAAATTACATTACTGATTATTCAGTGTTTATCATAAAATAATATATGCATTTTTTAAATTTCACGTACCCCCTAGGATGTCTTCGCGTACCCTCAAATATAATTTCTCTTCAACTTTGTACCCCCAAAGTTGTTCGTGTATAATTCAAGTTATACATAGTATATAATCTACATGTAAAATAAATTAAATTATCATAAAATAATATATGGTGTATAATTCAAGTTATACATAGTATATAATCTACATGTAAAATAAATTAAATAAATTACATTACTGATTATTCAGTGTTTATCATAAAATAATATATGCATTTTTTAAATTTCACGTACCCCCTAAGATGTCTTCGCGTACCCCACGTTGAATACCACTGATCTAGATAATAAGACATTACAATTATAGAAAATTATAAGTATGTAGTAAAAAGATGAAGCGATTAATTGATTATTAATTATTGTAAAACTCTTTGTATGTGTAAAATGGTTTTTGGGAATATGGTAATATAGTGTTCGTGAACCAAGTTAAGGTTGAAAGAAATAATGAACGGAAGTGTGTCAACAAAGATGCTAACCACTTAACTTAATTGTTTCGTGGGCCCACCATTGGACTCAAGTTGATGAAATCCACATTACCGTAACATGTTGCCCGAAGGTCGTTTTAATAATTTTCCCCCCCCCAGTTTTTACGTTGCATTGGATTCTTTTAAAGGATGTTTTCCACCCGGCATGCTGCTGTT